ACTAATACTTTCGGACTGATATCATTTACTGTATGTAGACAATAATAATAAAATAAAATAAATAGATATGTCACTATTTACGGGATCTACGTTTAAAAGTTGTGATCAAAAAGTTTCTTGCTCATTTTGGTTTATAAAGAACAAATAATGGTAACGGTCAAAGGCAAACAGTTATCAGAAGTAAATCCTTCTACGGAAATGTTATTTAACGAGGTATAAAGTCGGCTTATAAATAAGTAGGTACAAAGTTCCAAGTTAACGACACAATTTTATATCCTAAAATTGTTGATCTTGCTAAAGGCAGCTTATTTCTGATATCTTTTCACTTTTATTTATTTAGTAAGACAATAGTACACACCGCACCCACACCAATAAACCGCACGTGAAAATTATGTGTATTAATTGCCACAGGTATTTTGAAAATATACTTACTAAGACGACCAAATGTGTCTAACATGTTAGGTATATTTATCGATAAATACAGTTAATAAACAATAATCAACCAATGTTTTTTGTTGCGTATAAACAACGTCGTACTGTTAAAGTTCGGTGTATACATTTTTGGTAATTTATTAATTTTGAATAGTTTAGATTATTGAGTATCAACAAGTACTAGACGAAAAATATTGATTTTCGACATAAGATACGTTATAAGAGTGCTAGAATTTTTGAAAAAAATACTACCGTTTGGGGGGGGGGGGAGCAAGTTAAATCTTCGATAGCGATTGTTCTTTTTTGTTTTAGACAAAATAAACGTTATCAAAAATATTATTCTCACTGCGCCGTGGAAATCATAAAATAAACACGCAAAAATATGATCGACTAATTAAGGCTGTTATAACGTGTTCCGTTAGTTTAAATAGAGGACTTCCTCCATCACTAACAATAACAAACGCTGCCGTCTGGAAACCAAAAATATTTAGACCTATTGAATTCGCTTGCAAGTATAGGTACGACGACCGTTTTTGCGAAATTGCGTTTGAGATTAATGCTTCGCATAAAAGTGTACACACCTGATCGTTATTGTTATTGGAACATTTATTATTTTAATGGTCTTGGGCAGCTGTGGCGGCCGCAGGGAGAAGCCCTTTCGTTTCTGTTTATTAAATATGCGAGCGGTAATAAAAATTAATAATTCAATGAAACGGTTCATTATTATATCTTAATAATGGCATTTATTATTATTACTTTTTTTTTGCCCTGGCAACTATACACTAGGTAAAATTTGAGGGATTGAATTTCACGGAATTCGCCGTCCCCCGAGCCGGTCAAGCCACACTAATTGCGTTACCGGTGTACAACGAGGTAATCGTTTCGAAGTCTATTCTCGACCCGCTCGTGTACTTCTCCGACCCTACTACGGTACCACGGGTAAGCCGTGCCACAAAACTACTAAACGCGGTACAGGGTCTACAAATATATATACATTATACATGATATATATGCAATTAAGTATCGGTTAGGGGGCGACAGAGAGAATTAGCGAATTAATTGACATTAACGTTGGTTTTGGCTTTTGGTGTGTGATAAACGATGGCGTCACCTCCCTTATCGCGGGCAGCTTGCACAGTATCAATCAACCCCCGGGCGTGTAAACTTTATAATAACAGTAAACCACCAAAAATTACGGAAAGGGGACGAAGCGGCGGAGAAGGAAGAAAAAAGCGGCGTCATCTCCACGCAAGTTTTTCTGTGTGCTGGAAAAATTACCGTTAGGTCGTCGCCGCGGTCTTTTAACTTTCTCCCATTAATTTCCATTTTCTTCGCCATTTTTACCCTTCGCCCCCTCGGCACCGGTCTACCGTTACCGACGCATCTGGCCGGTTTTTAATGTGATTTGTTGTTATACACCTCTAATGGCCGGCAACTTTTTTTCCAGCTAAGTGCGAAAAAGAAGGGAGGGGGTCAGGACCAGAGAAGGTCGTCGGTTATAAGGAAAAAAGTTTGCACACTCGGAAAGTCAACCGCATAAGCGCTTTTGAGAAACCATACGGCGGCACGCGTTAACTGGACAAAAATCTATCTAACCTCTCATCTTCTCAAAGTAAAATTCAACTATTTTAAATAATTATTATAGCCACTGTTTTTATACTTACAAACCATCTAACTTCCGCGGAACAACCTCTGAAGTCTAGTAAAAATGCGCCCATTAAAGGCACACATTCAATATTATCACAACTTAAGGAAATTCAAATGAGCTACTTATTAAGGGGCAAAAATAGACAGTATTTAACAAAAATCTATCTAGTATCTGTTAAATATGCCGACTGATTTTAAGGTGAACAAATATTATTTATTTCTAGTTATAAAACTTTTTAAATTTTTTTTTCTTTGAGTTATGGCGAAAGTTTGATAAAAAAATTTCAAACTTCATTCCATTAACGATCGATAACCATGATTCAATTTTGATACCTAGTGAAAACTGTATTGAACGTCTTAATATGTTTACTTTGGATCCTACGAACAACTTTTTCCATTTATTTATCTGAAGAAGCGTAATAATATATGTTGTGAATATTTGTACATTTTTACATTTTTATAGTCAAATTTTGATAAGTGTAGGTCTACATTTGTAAAAAGTTGTTCATAGGATCAAAGAACACAAGATAAGAAATCCAAACTTGCCTCAAAAATCTTTATCGCGGAATTAAATCGATCAGTACCGTTGGAATGAAAAATAGATCCTTTCAGCATGAAAAAACAGCCAGTTTTTAATTCCCTTAACACGACTGTTGCTAGCAAAATCAACATAACATATAAATCGTCCAATTCATCTCATCCCTATTCTAACTTCACACGCGATGACAAAATAAGGGTTCAAAAACATTGATTTTCGCAGTGATATTAGTGTGAGAAAATGTGAGTCAAATATATAGACTTGAGATAAATTTAGTAAGTACGAAGCTAAAGAAATTATATTACTTGTAAAAATGAATTACAGAGAAAATATACCGACATAAAACCCACTTTACAGTCCTTTCATAAAAAGGTAGCCAGACTCAAGATGTACTGGAAGGCTTTGGTCTAAGTAGGATCGGACTTCAACGCACCGCCGGGCAACAAAGCAAATCAAAATGAGCCGGTTGATTTTAAGGCTGATGTCTTTCTGTTTAATTGAAATACAATATAAATAGATATTATTGTGACAGAATAATCAAATAATTATTATCATTATTATTGTTATTTTTAATATTATTCATTATTATAATGGGAGGAGTACCCACTTGGTAAGGAGGCAATGTGTTTGCGCTTACTGTCTCTGGTTCGACACTCGGTCACAGGCGCTCCTTTTGCCGGGCGAGCAATCGTCCGGTGAAAAGGAACGGCCATCCCCCTCTCCGGCGACGGACTGACCCGTCCCGGACAGCGAATCCGTCTAGAAACCATCATCTCATGATGGCATCGTCGGGCTTTAAAGACCCGTTAAGTTTGATAATGATGATATTTTTGTTATTACAAGAGAAGTCCTAGATACGATTTTGAAGGGTGTTTGGACCCTTGGGTCCGAACACAAACGCGTTATCCATATTATTAATATTATATTATATATAGATACATAGAAAAAAATACATTGATGGTGTCTGGTCGGGGACGAATTTTATAGTGTTCGCCAGTGGAATTCAATTAAACGCCTGGGTTAGCTTTAAAGGAAATAGAGAGTGGTTGCATTGTACAGGAAGAATAGATTCGCTGTGAAGTGTCCTGTGCGTAGGTAGGCAACAAATAATATATTACCGCCGCCGCTCCGTGTGACAAACCGATGAATCATAGATGTAAGGGATAGGGGTGGAGATGTTATCAAGCCGAGCGAGCCAAAAATGAAAACGAGAAGAATGGAAAGCAAAAAAACCATACGAATTCCTCCGAACGCCATCATGCCGTTGACGTTATGCAAGATAAATACACAAGTCGGTTCCAGCGTTGTTACCGGCGAGGAGGATGGAGCGAATGCGTTTTCTGACGCAGAAATAGTGAGCTTCCGGTAAATCGAGTAAAAGGAATTTTATATTATTGTAAACTTCTACATGATTAACTTCGAATATTAACATCGCTCAGTCGGACGCGGACGCGTTACATTTCTCATACGAGACCGAGCAGCATTTATAGACAAACGGGAGGCGATGCAAAAACACACCAAATATTTGGCAGCAGAAACTGATGATGCTCAAAGAAGTAAACTGTTAAACGCGTTAAATCTTACGGATAATACAAATAAAAACCATGTGAAGTATACGAATTGTAGTAACTTGTACAGAACGTCACTATGTAAAGTATAAAAGTACTCGGAAGAACCAGAAATCAATGCGAAATTTGTGAAACAAGTAATAGATAGCGTCGTAGTCATAATCATAACCCGAGTTCGTCAATATTAATTTGAACAATTAAAAAACAACAGTGATAGTACCTATACTAGATTGCTTTTTTAAATATTACGTAAACTACACACATATCCCGTCTGTTTAAAGCGATCTGGAACAGCTTTCTCATAGAATGCAGTCAAAATATTGCTAATACAGGGTAATGTTCCATGCTCAGAGTTGGCTTTAGTTTTTTTTATCTTACCTAAGTTTCACGAAATGCAATTTTGCTGAACTGGTTTAGTTCATGACCAAGTTATCATAATAATATCATACATGTCATATAATCGTCAAATCATAAAAGTATAAACCATATTATGATTTCTTATTCCTATCATTTGGTACTTTGACCTGTTAAGTCATTAAAGGGGTTTTCCTCACTCCTTCCATATGTAATTGAATTATTAAAGTTCCATGAAAATCCTTCTTTTTACCTCAATTTTTCGATGTTCACTTTTGTTACCTAATTCTCTCCACCAGCCGTCCCTGAGTTAACAAGTCGGAGATTTGGCATCATAATGATATAGATTCGTGACAAAAGCATGAAAGAAAATCTGTTTTAGCAATTGACCATTGACACTTGATAACATAATCTACATCATTTTTACAACTTAAATACACACAAAAAAATGTATTACTTACCGTCGTACACTTCGAGTTTGGCGTTAGCACTGACTGCGTCACCCACTCCATTCTCAGCAAAACATTCGTATACAGCATTATCCCGTGGCGTTCGGGTTGGGTCGATCCTCAAAACTGAACCGGTCTCACTGCTGCCGATCACCTTGTCCACGATATCGTACCGGTTGAGTGATTCTGATACTTTTTTGTTGTTTTTCCGCCATTGGATAGTAGGCCGAGGGTCACCCTTAGCGCCGCAGTAGAACGATGCCACGCCGTTGCTCTTGACTGTCTGCGACCTGGGCTTAACCGTCAACGTCGGAGGTTCTGTGGACAACATTCGACCATATTACTAACCAACAAACTTTCAGAATATATTGAAATAAAACATTTTATACATGTTTGTCCGCAGAGGACGAACAAAAAATGTCTGCAGACCGTGATGGATATGAATCGATTACGATCAGGTATGCGATGTGGCTAGAACACTACAGTCCACATTGCTTTATGTTCATTTTTTTTAGTTCCTATACAATAAACATTTTTTATCAGACCAAGACCGACTACACCGGATGACATTGTCATTAAATTTAATTACAAAGACTACAAAACGGAAGTTAAATTAATATGATTTTCAGTTGCGTACACATTATCCGAGATGTTCGTCAAGAAAACTGCGAAGCCAATAAAAATATTTTCACTAAAGCTTTTTAGAAACGTTAGCTTGACTTACCAAAGTCCGTTGAGTTCACTGATTTTCAATGGTTATTCGCATATGTTAATAATTTTAACCAGATGTAAACTTGAACCTACACGGCTTTAATGCATCTGGTGACCTATCAATCGGCAAACAAACGTCGAAGGGTCACACACTGGAAGTCATCCGTTGTGCATTGAAGCACAACCCTACGCATACACATCACATTTCCATAAGCGCGTTTTTCATTTTGAAAAAACCCCTCTGTAAATGACGCTTAGTGTTGGGTCGAATCCACTAACCCATGCCATCGACCATCCGCGTGTACATGATTACTGTGGGCAAATGGGCCCACCAGATTGTCCCGTGTCCAGACACCACGATTACCTACGTTTATAACATAAATACCACGTGTCGGTGATGGACGACAAAACGTTGTACTTTTAAGACTTAAAAACTTTGTACATTAGGGTCGGTCGCACACGTTAAGTCCATCATGCCGGACTCGTATTAAAACCGTATTACGCAGCCAGAGGGATCACTACACAGGCCGTCTCGCGCTCAGTTCAGGGTTTAGAATAAGCTAAAAGTGTATGAAGCAACGTCTAACTCGGTTTTAAAAATGCATGCCAAAAAAAAAAAAAGAGACAGTAGGGAAATGATATTTCGGACATTCTGAATCCGTTTAAACATTTATACAGTTTTCAGACCCTTCGAGTTGTTCGCTAGGTAAGTTATAAGAAAGTTTCCTCTCGACGTTATTATTATATCGCGCCGAGACAAGTCGAAATGTTTGATATACAAACACAATATATTTTTCTCTTGCCAACCGTCAACATAAATTCGTTTTAGGCGACTTCTCTTTGGATAATTCATAGCTGGAAGGAACGATGAATATTAATGGACGCGAACTGTTGCTTCTTGAGGCCATTGTCTTTTTTCATGTATTTATTTTTGTTACACCGACAAAACACCAATCGCCGTTGTTATTAGCAGCGATGGTAGTTAAGTTTTACTAGCATATAATAGCATACTCACGTGTTAAATATTGGATGAACGATGAGAAGTTGGCGCCTGTAAAATTAGGTAAAACAACACTTGTAGTTCGTCGGAAACCGGGAGATAATGCCCAAAAAAAATCTACGTTTTGTAATACATTAAGTATTCGTCGACGGAAAAGAAAAATGTTGGTCGACCAAGCGAAAGCTTTTAGATGTACTTTTAGTCATAAAAATTCCTGTTTTTTTCTTTCAATAATGGACGAAATACATTTTACGTGGTTTTTATCGTTTGCTAAGAGTTGCTTTTAACAAAACCCCAAAAGGGTTGTATTTGACACTGTGTCCTCTTTCTCCAGCACGGCGCTTAACAGCCGGAAAAAGGTATCTAATTTAAATTGTAAAAAGCGTTTGTTAAAATCCTCAGCCGTGTACACAATCCTTACGGAGCATCAGTCTTTAATACCACCATTTTCCTGCCGTTTGACAGCAATAAAAACAATAGTACACGTCTGGCATCCCTTTATAAATATGTATACTATTTTTATGAATAAATATTTTGTATATATTATTAAAAACTCGACCGACGTGGCGGAATTAATTAACAGATATGTTATATAAAACCAGGCTAACCGGAAGGGGGAATTAATAGGCCTTCTTTTGTAACCAGAAGGGTACCGAATAATCTAATGGATATCAAACGAAAATAAATATTTTACCTAACCATATGTAGTATAAATAAAATAACTACTACATAACTATCTTCATAATTACATTATGTTCAAGGCGCGCACACTGCACAAAGTACGTATTTGGACAAATTACTATATTGACTATAAAATTATAAAAAAAAAATTGCACTTGAAAACTAACTTAGGTTACCTATACATGTAAATTTAACTTATATTTTTATCTTAAACTATTAAATATTCCACTTATCTATAAAAAAAAATCCATCACTTATTTATTTACTTTTAGGAATAATACTTCACAATGCAATTTAACGAGATATTTTCGTTTCAGACTTAACAAAAGATCCAATTCTAAAGACTTATTCTATGCCAAACCAGTGATTATGTGTGTACATAACGGTAATTATTCCATTTGAATGTCAAGCATAATTTACTCCTCGACTAGAATACAAACGTTTCGAGTTTCACTTTATTCGAGAGAATCAATTTGATACCGACCCAATCATACAATGCGGTAGAGGCGATGAACTGACGACATCCCTTTTCTGAGATCAAAACGTTTCAGGAGCTTTCCATAGTCGATCAAGGGTTAAACCCTCCTTTTGGAAATCCGATAATCCAAGTGTAGTGTCAGTTTGTTTGGCCTCAATGAATATTCTATTGGCCGAAGATAATATAGTGTTTGGGATACGACGAGACTACCCACTGGAGAAAGCGAATGATTTAATACCCGCCGAGAAAAGAAAATCTCGTCTGTTATTTAACCTTTGCCCGGTCTTTACTCCTTGACCCCCATCTTTAAGAAGAAAAAACGTTACGCCATTATCAACCCTAATGTACGTTTAGCACAACATACCGTCATCTCGGTACTTTTAACATTGCACACAGACCACATGTTTTAAAGGGATTTAAAAATGTATTTTAGTAGATGGCTGAATAGCAAATATGATATAGTGAGCTATTGTTGCCGAGTCCGCGTAAAAAGGACAATATACACACTATCTAGTTTCTAATATTATCTATGCGTGGTAATCAACTAGTAAATATTAAATAATATGACTATTATCAATAGCCGAACTGTTGTTAGTATATGCACGGAAGCCAGATCCATAATTAATGGCATTCGAACGCTTTTAAACCGTCGAGGGTCGTTTTATATTGGTGTAGAATGTAATTAAATATTGATAGACCGAGAGGGGATTCGTTTAGCGTCTGCTTAATTACCGAGCTAATTGGAAAACAAAAACACACGCCACCATTACTACCTTTGATAGGAAAATAAGACTAAATTCCACCAATGACGCGTAAAAAACAAAGCCAATGGCCGAATGCCATTATCTGTAGCGCATCTAAATAATAATAATAATAATTGTAAATAAAACATGCACACTTTTTGTAGAAAAAGGTACAGCGAAAACATAGTATTAAACAAAAGGATACTTTTTTTTAATAATCTATGTAAAAACAAAAACACAGTCGTTTAAACGTTTGCCAGGCGACCAACGATTGAAAGATATTATTATTGTAATATATATTTTTTTTTATACAAAAATAAATTATTTGCATAAAACCACCGTTGTATTGCGTGTAAACAAGTTAAACGTTTGATTAGAAACAAAGTTTACTTTTGACTAGAACTAAAAAATTCTGGATGATAATAATAATACAAGAATTCATCGTCATTGATGGAAAAGCCCATACAGGCCGCAAGACTGTAAAGTAACAAATAATTGAAATTTTGGCGCTAAAGTTATTAGCGCACAAATACCTGACTATAACCGCCGACCCTTCACCTATTTACCGTTGACAACGAATTCGTTACTTGTCAACCGCTTGACAGGTGAAATAATTATTTTTAATTTGCCCTGACCGACGCGCATTTCTCTCGTTTTTCACTCATTGCATTTTGATAGACAACCAATCCATTCAAACGACGTCGTATTATTTATTTACACATCATTGCTTTAAGTGGTTTTCTCTGTACTCAATTTCCAACGCGATTTCTCATACATACATCTATATAATATGCATAAGACATAGACGTGCATTATTTCATACGAGATTGATACTGTAATTTTCATAAACAATTATCTGGAGCAAAACAACTTGGGTTTGTGTCAGACTGTAAAATAAAACAATTGAATTATTGTTTACATCAAACAAATGAAAAAATTACATAAAAAGCACAGTAAAAAAACCACCATGGCACTCGATAAATAAATAAAAAATTCAACTTGGAGAGAGTTGAGATGGAAAATATAATATATATATTTTCAAGAACAGTTGAAGAAATCATGATGTTCAGTATCACAGTCGCACACAAATCCAATAACGTTTCTTTGTAAACTTATTTAATCACAAAAAAAAACTACATCAAGTCCTGTAAAACAATAAAAACCAATTTGATTTAAAAAAACGTTTTTTTTATGATTTCTCTCGAAAACTAAAACAATAGGTACCTAATTCCGATTTTGAAACGGACCAACAGTGAAAAATACAAACGGACAGTTAACGTTAAGACAATATTATTGTGAACCGACAAGACGAAATCAATAATTACTGGCCGTTATATTATATAAACAAAATTAGTTTTAAAGAAGAGCAATATTGTTTTGCGGATTTATAGCCGGCGCACGACAATGATGTTCAATTAACCAGGAGAAAAGCTTTATCGGTCACTTTATGTTTGTTGCTTGTGTTCGTGCATATACATATAGGTATACACACACCACTACCCCTACGGTGCTATTTGTCTGTCGCTCTACGACAGCAGGTTACCTGGGGAGGGCACGGTTAAGTGTCAGCTTGCGAACCACTTTAAAAACTCCGAAGAACAGCTGTATAACAGTAACACTACCGCGGTGTTTGTTTTTCTTTTCTTTTTTTTTTTGCCTTCTTTCCTATACTCATCCCGTTCGCTGTTTATCATCGGAGAGGATCGCCCTCCGACTAATTTGTAACGCGTCGACTTTCTTTCCCTTCCATCTTTCTTTTATATCTATACAACGTGCACGCATATACATCGTGTGCAAGATTTTCTCGACCGGACGCTGTTGGTAAATTACATGGGTTGTTTTTTTTTTTGCCGCCCCGTCAGCGACACAAAAGCTCCTAGTAGTTTTATCGCCGTCCGAAATCTGTACATACATATATATAATATACTAGTACTTTATAAATCCTCTTTTCGCATCACCGCCTAACCGTCTATCAGGAACGCCTATAACAAGACGACACAAGGCGGCTGAGTCCTAAGGTGTGTCGATGATAAAAACAAGACTTGTACAACGGGCAAAGAGCATGCGAGACAATAATAATAATAAACATAATATTGTCGGTTGGAAAATAATGGTAACGAAAAACATAATTAATTTGAAGTTTAATAAACTTGTCCTTATTCGCTTTACCTCGTACAAATCGGAAGCCAACACAATATACTTATACACTGAGGGAATAACACGCAATATTCAAAAGGACCAAATTTCAGAACTAATAGCTGTTAAAAAACAATTTTTTAGTTTGACGTTGGCTTATATACCTTCTTGATAAAGTTGATATTTTATAATTAAAAATGAATTTAGTTTCTTTATTAAGTTTTTACTTAAAACTAAAATCATAATCCTAAACTCTAATACAGATCAGAAATATGCTAACTGACGAGAAAACTTAAATTGCAAATGTTATTTAGCAAAGAAAGAGTTCAGCATAAACCTTTTCCCTTACAAGATGGGAACTTTTAATTTATTAAACTAATTAAAAAATGGTTTTGGGACTAAAAGGTCTAAAAATTAGACCGAATGCAGATCTAGGATGAGGCGATGATATACTTTAGAATATTTTCTAAATTATGTGGTGAAACATTTTTTTTTTTTTTTAAGGGAAACCAAATTATACAGGAAACAATTACTCATTGACCTATTAAATGTCTATGGTATTTGTGAATGAATCATCGACAGTTAACAAGATATCTGGAAAATATTTTCGTTATACTGTTAATTACGATATTGTCTATTAGTAACAACGGAAATGAATTATTAGGATAGACAGGTGATAAACTCTACTCGTATTTACCATAATATTAAAAATACAATTAAACTGTAATGTTAATAATTATACTATAATTTGATTGCAACAATAAACCTTATTTATAAGTATACTTTGTCATCTATAGATTCGCATCGAAGCATTTATACGAAAGATTCCTCCGACCCTACTATGCTCCGTCATCATTATTCAGTATACTAGTATTTGTTATTATATATCATACAAGTTTATGATATAAGTCGCAACTATGTGATGTCTCGCGGATCAAGATTTATTTAAAGTAAAATACCAATTGTAATTGTAATTAAAACTAAAACGTCAATTTTGTTTATTGTTATAACAA